GCAACCAACCACCAAGGGCACCGGTGAGGTTTTATTGACAGAGGATTGGCAAGTGTTTCTAGAGGACCTTGAATGAACTTTTGGTCATTGCACATCAATAAACATTTTGCTGTTGCCAAATATCTCATGAAACCTCAGTACTGGGTTGTAACCCACACACAGATTTCTAACTTGGGTTAGTAAACACATATTTCTTACCTCTATCTGCTGAGATGTTTAAATATACTTATACCCCACAGCACTGAGCACAATTAGAGAGCTAAGATCTCAAAGACTCTAATAATAGGTCTTTGAGAAATGGCTGGTTCTTGGTTTCTGTAGCGAAAATTCAGGTTGAGTCTGTACATCTTGTGGTATCAGAAAGTAAGGAGATGCTTTTTAAAAGCGATAGGGATATATTTAAAGAATCTAAGAGCTCCCAATGTCCAACATTCAAATACTGAGAGTCAGAATAACATACTATTGTTGGATCATATTACAAAATAAAAAGTGTAAGAGGGAAAAGCCCTGACCTAAAACACCAAATAACAACAAGAATGGATCCAAAATCAAGTTTGGTATATAAAAGAAGCCAAACTTAGAAGCTACTTTAAAATTGAATTTTGCTATGTAATAGAAGCCAAATTCAGAAGGTACCTAACTGCATTTATTTGGGATTCTGGGAAAGGTACAATTACAGCGCATAGAACAAACCAGCCTAAAGGGAGGGAGGGTAAAGAGAGAAGTAGAACAATAACTGTCACTGAGAACAGAATGGATACACGGTCCATGCTAATGTGAATGACCCTGGGTAAGCAAATGGGAGCAATGAAATATTTCCTCTCAAACATCTCAAGGTAATGGAAGACAAGACACAGAAACCAGTATGAACTGACTGAGACCAAGAAGACTTAATGACTGACTTCAGGGACTTCTGGTAGTCTGGATTTGTTCCTGAAGCAAGAAAACTAGTGGAAAGAGGGGAAATTTAAATAAACCCTACAGTTTAGTTTGTAGCATTATTCCTATGTTATTTCTTTTCATATTAAATATTTCTCAGAAACATCATCTGCTAACATGAGTTAAATGTGGGTGAAATCTACAATTATCTGTTATTTATTTTCTTAAGATTTGAGATTCACATAGCCCAGGCAGGCCTTGACTTGGCTATGTAGCAGAAAATGACTTAACTCTTGATCTTCTTGAGGATTGGAAACCTATCCTTTTAATGTTATTTAGCACTAAGTTGGTGGCTTGTCTCTCTCCTTATTCCAGAAATAATCATGTAGATGCTAGATGCTCTTCCAGTTTAGATTATTTCCCAGGATTTTAGATAAATTTGTTTCATATTCATAAATAAATTTTGATTTTTTGATTGAATTAAAATTTTACTTAATTCTCCCATTCCCGCTCCCACCTTCTTTCTACCTCTTGCATATCTAGCTCTCCTTCATCCATAGCCTCTCTTCTCTAACCATTGCTCTTACTTATGCGTATACATAAATAGACATATAGATACAACCTGCGGAGTCCTTCAGTGTAGCCTACATGTGTATGATTGACTACATGTATTGGGCTGACCACTGGTATTGGATAAAAGATCAGAGGCTCATCTCTAGGGAAGACTAATTTTGAGCAGTTAACCGCTTGTAACTCTTCATCTAGGGATGACAGGGGAGTAACTATGCCCAATACTGTAAGTCTAGCCGACAGCACGTGGCTGGTGAGGGCATGGATCTTACAGAACTACTAATAGAACTACCTACAACTGTCTCTTTCCTAAATTAGTATAATTCCTAACTGCATTCCAAAAACGTATCATTATACCCACAGGTAAGTGTAGAGCTCACCCCTTATCAAAGAAGCTTCTTCTACAGCAGCAGGAGACCATTACTGAGGGCCACAACTTGTCAAAATACAGAGACCAACTGAAGGTGGAATTCCCAGCCCCAACTGATACACGACACCTTCACCTAACGCTCAGGCAACACTGTAGAGGACCTGGCAGAGATTTTTAGGGCCAGAGGCCCACGAAGCCTGATGTGAGACTGTGTCTTCTATTGTGATAGGGAAGCCACACCCACGAAATCTCAACATGTCCAAGACCTGAACAATTCCAACACCAGTTGACATTCCAACATAAATTTAAACACATCTTTCCCTCTTTTTGAGTGTAAAAAGTATACTAATTGGATTCCCCCTGCTCCCAGGGTACTGACAGAACTTTGGCTCTAGATAAAGGTACAAAAACTGGCATGGTGTACCAGAAAAGCCCCGTCCTGAGAAATGAGTCGGGCAAGGTTGTGTTTGCACTGTAAACGCCTGGTTACAGGGTCCGGGAACCCTGGTTCCTAGACGCTGTCAATAGCATTATTTTACAATAGAGAGTGAGACAAGAGCTGACTCTGTTCTCCAGGCAACATTCCTTCCAACACTGGACAGAGGGACCCCACTCTCAGCACAGATGGGCGCACCGCCCCTTCCCCTGCGCATGCGCATGCTGCATTTCTGCTCCTGGTCCTTCCCTGGCCCCGCGTCCCTCCAGGGAAACATTTCTTGGCCTTCGGCTCCACGCACTGCTAGAGCGGCGGGTGAGCCCTAGATGGCGGCAAGGGTGGAGGGTTCTGGGAGCTCGGGGCCATCCGGCCAGCGAACAGGGGCCAGCGGGGGAACCATCTGGGAAAGTGCTGGGGTGCGTCGGGCGCCGGCGCTCAGGTTGCCGGGGTACTGATGGTCCTGCACTTCTGCAGCGCAAACCTAGGGCCGCTAGCTCGTGCTGTGCGTGAGCGTTTTTGTGCACTAGGCGGGGACGGTGCGGGGTTGTAGGGAGGGACCTGAGGAGTTACGCATGCGTGGCGTGAGCGTGACGCTGTGACGCGTGCGTTCTCTGTCTCCTGGGGCCAGATGCTGGGATGTGGGGGCGAGCAGGCAAGCCTGATCCCGAGTGAATGAATTACTGGGACAGAATAACCCAATCAAGACTCGGGTTTCTTTTCTGCACAATGTGACTATTATGAATACTTGCTTTTTTTTCTTCCTTTCTTTTCTTTTTCTTTCTTTTTTTTTTTAAGCTGCTACTACTTCTTGTGCAGGGAATACCCTGTGAGGGTCGCAGGGAGCCCACCCTTTCCGCGGGCCTTTGGACTGGTCCCTAGGGCGCTGTGTTTGGAGTGGAAGAGGAAAGAGCCGGCCTAGCTAGCCACCAAGCCTTCTGCCCCTCACACTCTCGGGATCCCCGTTCTGACTTTGATATTCGCTCAATTGTTGTGTGTAATGACACAATATCCTGAAACCATGGAGGACTGTGTGCCCGCCGAAAGTCTGGGACAAGTTTAAGGAGAGAGAGGTGAGCTGGAGTTGAGAGAGATGGGTGCACTCAGGGTGTACAGGGAATGCCGCTTGGGGGTGAACGGCTCACCAGCCACAGGTCCGGAATTGCTGTCTCCCTCCTTCCTAAACATCCCGCGCACCCCTCCTACCTTGTTAACTGTGGAGGGGTGGTCTCTAGACACTGACTCATCCAAAGGTGACTTGAAGGGAGATACTGAGGGATGTGCTTTTCTGGCCATCAATGTCCATGGGACAGTGTAGGTGGGTCCTTGAGTTAACCAGCTTTAGTTTACTTGTTTCTTGCTTTTTGGTTTTTTACCATTAAGCCTGAGCATCTAAGAATATCTTGCAAGTTTTTAGTGACACAACCAAGTCCTGCAGATGGTTGTACATTTGTCACTTTTCTGTCAAAGTTTTTTATCAAGAGATATCAAGAGGATTGTAAGCAAGCAACTTGGGACACGTTTTGAAATTTTTGTCTTGCCTTAAAAAGCCCATTCCTTTTCTCAAGTTTTCTTGAATTATCTGACTTCAAGGGATTAATAGTGTCAGATAAACAATATGGTCTGATTTCTTTCCCCCTCCTCTTGATTACCAGTCTGGACAAAGCCATGGCATTTCCTCCTTTAGATTATTATTTGGTGAATTAAAAAGATCTCATCTTTTTAATTTTTCTGTAAGTTGGGTGATAATAAGAAACAGGTGTTTGTATTCATTCAGTGAAAATTATCTCAACTTGACGTATGTTAGGGCCCCACTTGAAGTAAACACCTTGCATGGAATGGAATGCACAGGTGAACCCGGGAACTTCAAGGCAGGCCAGATCTCCTGACGTCCTTCTTCCTTTTCCCTCAGCTCTTCCCTCCTCCACTCAGAGCAGAAAATGAACAAATCCCAGGTGAGTTTTTGGCTTTTTTATTCCCATTTTGTTTTAAGAATTTGTATTTCTTTTTCAATGAAACAGTAAAAACAGACAAAATTTTACAGTCACAGAAACATTTGAACTAGGAGAGTTGACAGAATTAGATGGAGGATTTTTAAACTTACGGGAGTATTCAGGTTATAGAAGTGCTTCTGTGTTTTCTGGTAGTCACACTAAGGTGAAGGTGATATGTTTCCTGTAACCGTTTCTTCGAGAGCAGAGCCTGTGTGTGTCGGGGGTCAGTCCCCACACTGAGGCTGGAGTAGACTGCTCTGGGGCTCCTACTTTTTCCAGGAACAAATGCTAAAGTAGGTGGAGGAATCGTCATCCCATGTATTCTCAAAGCAGCTCTCCTAAATGTCCAGGCAGCTCATTTGTGCTTCCAGGTAAATGTGCATGCAGGAAGCTTGTGTTTATACATTTCTCATTTACATCCAACCTGAAAAATAAGGCCTTATCCCCTCACCACCACATTAATTCAACTTATACCTCCACATAGTCTATCACTCATGGAAGTCAGGGCAGGAACCTGGGTGCAGGAGCTGATGCAGAGGCCATGGAAGGTGCTGCTTACAGGCTTGCTCAGCCTGCTTTCTTTAGAACCCAGGACCACCACCCCAGGGATGGCACCACCCACCGTGGGCTGAGCCCTCTCCCATCAATCACTAATTAAGAAAATGCTCCACAGGCTGGCCTGCAGCCAGCCCCATCTTATGGAGGCATTTTCTCAGCTGGGGTTCCGTCCTTTCAGGTGATTCTAGCCTGTATCAAGGTGACATAAGATTAGCCAGCACGGGTGTCTGTTCACTTTTTTTGTGAACTGTCTGTGCTCTCTTTTGGCCATTTCCCTCTTAGGCTTCTGGCTTTCCTCTACCTACTGTCGAGAGGGATAGGAATGCTTGTGGATTATGTGACTTGTAGGCCATCTTGTTCTGCTAGTTCAGTGTTTTAGAAACAGCAAAGTGCTGTGTGCCCACGTTCTCGTGTCCTTTCATCCTTCTATGCAGTTTATGTTTAAGTGTTTGATTGATTTGGAGTTTACATTAGATGTAGAAACTTCCCAGCTAAATTATAGCAGCATCTTTCTGGTAACCTTTCTACTTTATGTGTGTTATCGTCCTGTTTTCTCCCTCCTGTGGGCCAACCCTAATTAAGGTTAGACCCTACAGTGTGCCTTTGGTGTTAGGACCCTAGAGAGTCACCGTGCTCTGTAGTTCATGAAATGTTTGTTCTTCCCTGCGCCGCCTCACCTTCTACTAGTTTTGTGCCTCATCTGTGACCCTTTGCCTTTGTCCCTTAAAGTTTAAAGTAAAACCATCCAGACACTGGCTCTCTCAGTGGCCGCTACTTGAGACTACCTGGTTTTGTTTGGTGTAGGTCTTTTTCTTGTATTTCTAGGGGATTTTGATTTTGAAGTGTAATGCCTCTCACTTTGGGGAAATTTTCAGCCATTCTTTTTCCTCAAATACTCTTTACTTGTGGGATTCCAATTACACTCTTAGCTCCCTCAGATCCCTAAATATCTTACCTTATACAATATGTCTTGATTACAGTTCCTTCCATCTCCCCCACCCCTCCAGATCCACTGCATTTCTGTCTCTCGTGAAAAAAGAACAGGCTTCTAAGAGATAACAACAAAAACGTAACAAAATAACATAAAATAAGATAAATCAAAGACCATCACATCAATTGGACATGGCAAACCAGCAGAAGGAAAGGAGCCCAGGAGAAGACACAAGAATCAGAGACCCACTCGTTCACACTGAAGAGTCCTACAAAAATATTAAACAGGAAGCCATAATATATGTGCAGAGGATCTGGTGCAGACCCGTGCATACCTTGTGCATGATACCTCAGTCTCTGTGAGTTCATATGAGCTTTGCTTAGTTGATTTAGAAGGACTTGTTCTCCGGGTGTCCTCCATCCCCTCTGGCTCTTATACTCTCTCCTCCTCTTCCTTGGGGTTCCGTGAGCTCTGAGGGAAGGGATTTGAGGGAGACATCCTATTTCGAGCTGTGTGTTCTAATGATTCTCTCTCTCTCTCTGCATAAAATCTGGCTGTGGGTCTCTGTATTTGCTCCCATCTGCTGCAAGAGGAAGCTTCTCTGATGATGGCTGTATAAGGCGTTGATCTATGAATATAGCAGAGTATCATTAGGGATCATTTTATCACTACTTTTTTTTAAAGACCAGTGGTATTTGATTTTACCCTAGGTCTCTCTGGGCTATCTAATCTCTGGTTCTTGGCCACCCAAGCATTGTTGGGTATGGGTTCCATCTCATGGAGTGGTTCTTAAGTCAAATCAGACATTGGCTGGTTGCTCCCACAAGCTTTGTGCCACCATTGCCCTAGCATATTTTGCAGGCAGGACAGATTGTAGACCAAAGGGTTTGTGGCTGGGTTGGTGTTTATGTTCCTCTTTCGGTAGCCTGCAGGGTACCTCCCGCACTATACACACTCCAATGTAAGGATGAAGTTTCTATGTAGGCACCAGCTCGACCTCAATCTTCAGTGAGTTCTGTGGGTGTTGTCTTTAGCAGTGAAGCTTGACCGTCAGTTTTGGGAGCATAACCTATTGTCTTGGCAACAGCCTGGATTGTTTGGGGGTTTCCATAGGACCCCTTTGGTCAACAGCTCAATTGGGTGTAACCTAGTCCCACTACTGGAAGCTTCACTTGGTGACAAGAGACGGCCAGGTGGGATTCTGTCTGCCCTATTATTTGGAGTTTATTATTAGGATCCCTTCACATATTTTAGGAAGTTTCTACTGTATTAGGTTTCCATACCGCTCCTCAATGCCCCTCAGTTCTAGCAATCTTTCTCCACATCCTTTCCCTCAACCCCACCTCTCCTCCCTCTCCCTTCCTGATCCTCCATTCCTGTCCCCCTACCCTACTTGAAATCCACCCATAAAATCTATTTTCTCCTCTCATTGAGATCCATGTGTATCATCCTCCATACACCTCAGCCCCTTTCTCTATACGTAACCTCTCTGGGTCTACAGATTGTAACTTTTTTATTATTTACTTAACAGCTAATATCCACATATAAGTGGATACATACCAACCATATTTATCTTTCTGAGTTACCTCAGTCAGGATGATTTTTTTCTAGTTCCATCCACTTGCATGCAAATTTCATGATGGTTTTTTTTAACAGCTGAGTAATACTCTTTTGTGTAAACGTGCATTTTCTTTTTTCCATGTTTCAGTTAAGGGACACCTAGGTTGTTTCCAGTTTCTGGCTATTATGAATAGAGCCACAGTGAATATAGTTGTGCAAGTGTTCTTGTGGTAAGATGCAATGTCATTTGGGCATATGCCCAAGAGTGGTGTATTAGTCAGGGTTTTCAGCCCTTTCAAATATTTATTCTTTTATTGTTTAACATGCTTGCTGCTATAGATTTATTGTGTATTGTATTGTATTTCATATAGGTCATTTCTTTTACGTTGATGGTGCACATTGAACATATTCACCCCCATTTCTTCCTCTCTGTCCCTGGCCTCATCTGCTAATCTCTTTCCACACTCCCCACCCCCCATCTCCCTTCTGCTTTCATGTCATCTCAGGTCACATGTATAAATGTGGCATTATCCAGCAGACTGTGGGTATTGAACTGAGTACATCTAATAAAAGTTACCATCAAAGGCACAAAAGACATTATCTAAAGAAAATCTAAGATCCATTAGTGAGAGAAAGTGAGGTATTTGTCTTCTGAGTCTGGTTTGTTATGGTGATCTGATATTGTATCCTTTTTTCAGCACACAGCATAACTTCATCCTCTTTGAAGGTTGTATAAAATTTCATTGTGCATATGTAATTTTCTTCAGTATTCATCTGTTGATGGACACCTAGATTATGATCTATAACTTCACTCTTTTGGTACTACTACGGTAATATAAATGTGGAAATACTTCTGTGGTCTCTTGACTTAAAGCCTATATTAGTTTTCTCTCTGTTGTGATAAAGACAATGACAAAAAGCATTTTGGGGAGGAGAGGGTTTATTTGTTTATATGTCCCAATCATAGTCCATCATTGAAGTAAGCCAAAGTGGGAACTCGAAGCAACATCTTCTACACCCCAGGAATACTTGCCCAGGGGTGGCACAGCCCACAGGGGACTGCACCCTTCTTCATCAATCACTAATTAAGAACATGTTTGTCTATAGGCCAGTCTGATGGGGGCATTTTCTCAATTGAGGTTTCCTTTATCTAGATTACCCTGGCTATGTTAAGTTGAAAAAATCTAACCAACATAGAGCTCTTTGGTTATATACTCAGAAATGGTATAGCTGGGTCAGTATTAGCTCTATTTTTAGTTGTATTTAAAAATCAATTTATTAGCCGGGAGGTGGTCGCACACACCTTTAATCCCAGCACTCAGGAAGCAGAGCCAGGCAGATCTCTGTGAGTTCGAGGCCAGCCTGGACTACCAAGTGACTCCCAGGAGAGGCACAAAGCTACACAGAGAAACCCTGTCTCGAAAAACCAAAAAAAAAAAAAAAAATCAATTTATTATCCTGTGTGTGTGTGTGTGTGTGTGTGTGTGTGTGTGTGTGTGATGTGTGTGTGCAGGTGCTCATGTGCTACAGTGGGAGTGTGGAGGTCAGAGGACGACCTTGAGTGCCAGCCCTCATCTGCCACCTTGTTTGATATAGAGCCTCTTTTCTAGCCGGCCCTCAAGCTTTCAGAAATCCTGTCTCTGCCACCCATCTCACTGAAGGAGTAGGGTTTACAAACATATACTAGCATGCCCGGCCTTTACATGTTTTCTTAGGATTTGAACTCAAGTCCTCGTGCTTGTCAGAAAGCATTTTATCCATTGAATCACCTTTCCAGTCTCTTGACTTAGTCTTTTGAGGAGCTTCTGTCCTGATTCCCATCAAGACTGGTCCAATTTATATTGCTGCCAGCAGTGAGTAAGGGCATTCTGTCTACCATTTGTTGTTCTTCATTTTATTGGTGTTAACCAAT